AGATCTTTTTTTCCCCCTTTTTTTCCGAAGAGCTGTGGTTACGTTGATTCACTTTCTATGCTCTGAGGGTTAATTAGCTCTATTCATATACATTAACCATGTCACATGTATAATTAATGTCTCCAGTAATGCTAAAATAGAATGCAGTAAAATTAACTTCAAGAAAGGCTCTCGTGTTGAGTCTAAAACTAATATTAGATAAAATATCATTTTAGGAGCTACTATAATTTCCCCCCAAAAGGTATTCTTCACACCATCAAGGGAAGTTCACTCAAAAAAAGGTACCCTTCTGGAAAACTTTCCAAATAGTGCCACTTTTTATTTATAAACTTCAGTAACTTTTAGCAATCTGGAGGTAAAGAAGTTAGAAAGTTAAACACAAGTTTATCAAAATAAATCAAATGCTGTTTTTTTTTTTTTGTTTCTAAGACGCATCTTCAACAGACCCCACAGACATATCTGACATATCTTTCTGCATGAAAGAACGAATAAACGGCGACCCTTTAGGAGTACAACCTTCACACTAAATAGGCACTGGCAGAATTCAGTAGCTACAGCGATAGCTTAGGAAACCTCAGATGTGCTTGGCTGGTGCAGTGCTACACGTTGCAACAATTCCATTCATTTTTCCTTCTCTTTTTTTAAAAATGAATCATCTAAGAGGACAGAACATGTTACACTCCATAGTGCATCTTGCTTCCTTGCACTCTGTGCAAAAGGAAAAGGTAAAGCCTAAGAGCTGTATTTGAAATCAATGCTGGACTTCAAATCTTTACATTAATTTTGAATACTATCACAAGAATGCCAAAAGTATCACTTTGCTTTCTCCTCTGATAAAAAACAGCTTAAGTTTGCAGGGGGGTAAAACACATCTGATAATTCCATAAATTCAAAAAAGTTTTTACATGCCAAAGCTTAATTAGATTCTTTTTTTTATTATTATTTTTTTTGCCCCTTACAGAAATACCTTTCAAGATTAAGCAACACAAAAATGGCATATGCTGAATAAATCTTTTAAAAACTAAAGCAATAGTTGTGAATCTGCTAGAAAAGCATAAATGTAATATAGGGAAAAAATACCATGGACAGTCATTCAATATTAAAATAGATATATTCGATTTTATTGTGTCTTTGAAATACAAAATTCACTTAATATGTTAGATTACTAAAATAAAGAAGTTTCAATATTGTTGCTCAGAAATTCACAATATTCCTTATTTGAACTAAGAGCCTTAATGGTGGACATTAACTACTAAAGAAAAACCTATCCATTGTTGCCCTATACGCATAATGTCAGTTTGCACAGTTAAGAGCTATTCACAATCTTTTGAATGTCGGAAAGTTCAATAATAATGAAACAGATCATTTATAATTCTRCAAGTAAAATTCTCAGGGCAATAGTTACTTGTAAAGATATCAATGCAGATAACAGTGACATGCAACTGGCTCAAAACTGAAAGCTGAGCAACATCTGTTACGTGGTTTTGTGAGTACATTAGGACATACTGGCAGACAAGGAAGTCTAATTCATGATTAGGTACATGTAGATTAATAAGATTTTCTGAGTAGTCTAACAGTTTGATAAAAGATAGTTTACAACAGCTCACAGCAGTGCTCAACAGCAGCATGAAAATGGAGCAAATACAATCTGCAAATTAAAATAATTAAAATTAAATCACATGTTAGTGATTTAGGTCCCAAGGAATTCACTTCTCGTGTCCTACAAAGTGTTGTACTGGCTTACTACACCAATTTTGTATGTGGTTATTTTTTTTTTTTTAATAGCAGAAGAATGGCCCTTATAGCCACCATAGGCAGTGGCAGCTTACTGCAAAGGACTGGTACTGGTCAGTCAAATATTTTAAAACTGATCTGTGAATGCAGCACTTCACTAGAGGAACAGCAGAGGAATCTGCAGAGGAAACAGCTCAGTACTGGCAGGGAGCTGAAAGGATGATGAGGAAGCAAATGGCCTGACCATGCTCTGCCACACCACCCTTTCAGCACTCATGGCAGCTTGAAAACTGCACTAAAGCCTCTACTTAGGTGATTGTGCTACCTGGACATCTTGGTGACCGATATGAAYGGCTTGTCTCTCCAGGTTTCTGCAGCAGGGAGCACCATATAAAACTGCATTGCTTCCTACACCATGAAAATAACCCAGGGGTTTTAGCCCTCTGGGAATGGGCCAGCTCGTGTCCTTGCCTTGCTTTGGCTTGCTAAGGACATCAGCACCATGGGTGTTTGCTCCCTGCTCCTGCAGCACAGACTCATTCCTGGTCAGAGCAGCTGTACTCAGCTTCCAACTAGAACCATTTCCTCGGTCCTACTTCCACATGCATGGATTTCAAGAGAGGAGGAAGCTGCTCAATGGCAGAGAGGCTATGCTGGGGCATGCAGGCCTGAACTCTGTGGTGCTCATGCACTGCTTGGTAGTGATCTACCAAGACATTTCTTAGGGCTTGATGTCGCATGGGACACCAGGGGCACAGCTGGGTCCTTCTCTGTTTAAAGTTTGACAGGTATGGCTCCTTAGGGGAGGAAAAAAAAAAAAAAGCAAACAAATTGACTCCAGCCAAAAGTAGTTTCAAGCATTGCATGAGTCCAACCCCAGTGGACTACCAGTAAATGCCCTTGTGGGGCTTTTCTTCAGGTCACTGTAAATATTCTGACACTTTTCTTAAATGCATGTGCACCTAAAGATGGAATTTGCTAGTTTGGAGACAACCTAGATCTTTCACTTTCAAAATAGATACTATATAAACTGTTCAACAATTAATCTGAAATTACTAATGATTTGCATGTACTTTTGGCAGAGTCCCATTATATCCTACTAAATTATGCAGCAGCCTGTGATATTCTAATTCAAAATACTAAAAATAGAATACAATTACAAAAAAAAAGTCTTATTTTTAAAACAAATACCTACTGTTATTTTCACAGTCATTTCTGGTTTGTTTTAAAGTTGGATGCCAAAGATATARTACAGCTGTGGCATGAGACATTTTACAGCCTACATTTAAGTAATAATGCCACAGTCAACAGTGTGATGACATCAATATTTCTTCTCTCAATAAAATGGCTTCTAATGGCCAAACTGGATTCTGAGCTGTGTCTGAGTACAGAAGAGCTTCTGTGCTTACCTACAGAGTAAATATAGTGGTGACAACCAACTTGAATACCTGAATCTCTCTATAAAAACAGATTCTTATTCTATGGCACAAGGCAATAATCAGGTTTTGCTGTTGATTAAATGTTGAAGCAAGGTTAAGGCATTTAATCAACGCCAAAGGCTATTTAATGTATGCTYTGGCACTGTAGACACTATGGATATTATACATGAAGAGAAAATGTTCAACAAATATATCTTACAATTTTCTACTCTAAGGAATTGGAATGTGGTTGTGCCAATCTCTAAAAGTCTTTCTACTGATACTTATTTAGAATAGGTGCTTTTCACGAATAACACAATGGTCTCAGACACAAATAATAATAATCAATTCTAACCTTTAGTATGTATGTTGCAGTTTTCATCTGTAGGCAATCATGTGCTTTAGAGATGAACAGATTTTCCATTTTAAAAGAAATGCAAAACTAAGAAACAGGGAATTTCAGCCCATCAGTCTCAAAAGTAGCTAGCGGCACTGATTATCCACTGGATAAGAACATGTCAAGGCAAAGTCTTCAGAGGTCTCTGTCCTTTGCGGAGTGGAGAGTCAGGGGCTTTTTTGAGCAATATACCTCTGACAGCACCAGCACATGGCACCCCAAACAGGCAGCACTGCAGGCAGTGACATCTTGGAAGGGGGCATCTTTCTAACGACTTGTTCAACAAGCACTGAGATTATCCCACAATGTCTTTGGGCACCCTAACTCCAGATGATCCAGCAATTCACTCAGCAACTATAGGTCAAATCTGAGCAAACGTTCAGATCGCTGCAACACCTCTGTGGCTGGTTAGCTATTTAGAGCAATGCAGATCTTGGCACAAAGCAGATTAAGGGCTGGCTAGCCAAACTAGTCTTCTCTCACAGAGACTGCTCATCTTCCAGTCTAGCTTCTATGACTGAATGTACACATGGGAACATGAGGAGAAGTCTTGTTCATGCACAGCACTATTATTTGTATGTCTGCTTGGGTGCACCTTTTGCTGGCACATCCAAAGCAGAGGATTTTGAGGAATACAGGATAAAGCTCACTGACATGGCTGCTCCCACCACAATTATTATCTTGGCTAACAGAGGCTGGACAGCCAAGAGAATCCTCACCAGACTCTGAAGCGACGGCTGGGAACAGAAACAGGGTCTAAAGATCGTCTTAGAGCCTACATACTATTAAATAATTTATGAAGAAAAAAAGCCAGATATTCAAGCTGGCTGTGCAGCCAATGCATAACTAAATCCTGTGACTGGCCAGGGTTTTTACTTGCTCAGATTTTGGTCCCACAGAAGATCATGTCTGAAGAAGGAGGAAGCATCAATGGGAAGTATTGTGCAGTTCACGTGGAGACAATTGTTAGGTATTATAGGACTTTAGACCTCCTTGCTTTAACTTACTGCCTAGGCTATGCAATATTATTCAAAATATAGCTGTCAAATATGTTAAAAAATCCAGGAAAAAAAGGTGTCAATCACAAGTTAGGAGATTCTGAATGGGTAAGGTAGTTTGGCTTTTAGA